CTTAGCTAAGCACTTTAGTGAAAGAAATGAGTATTATTAGTCAATTAACAAATGTCTGACCTTTGCACATTAATACCTAGATCCCCAACAAGGTAAATTTATGGAAAGTTGAAGTGCAATTACTCACTGGTTGCTGTGGCTCATGCCTGTATTCCCAATGACTCAGAAGGCTCAGGCAGGAGGATAGCAAGTTTGAGACCAGCATGGGTAGCTTAGCAAGACTCTGTGTCAAAATAAAAAATAAAAAGGACTGGGGATGAAGCTCAGTGGTAGAGTGTCTCTAGGTTCAATCCCTAGTACTGGCTGGGATTGAGGAGGAAGGAACTGCTTGCAAATGTTCATCTGAGCCAGTTGTTCATTTCCCAATTCTAGTGTTAATAATGTGGCCATGCTGAGTAGACTTAGGCTGTTTGTACTCTCTCCTCATTCACCAGGGGAGCTAGTGACCCAAAATTGGACACCCAGGAGGCCATAGGAGGCAAGGAGGCATTGGGGTGACTCATACCTTGGAAGCCAGCTTTTAAAAAATGAGCAGAAACTTATGATTATAGTTCAGCATTCCTCGTTCTTCCTCCTCTTATTCTTCTATTTGAGTCTCAGGTGTATTTTGCCATTGCTGTTTTTGCCAATAAAGACAGCTAAAATGGGCATTGCCCTTAAGAATGTACAGACGGCACATTGCAACCACTCCTAGGAGGGATTAGCATTGTCGTTTACAGAATCTCGAAGTCTAGGTGGCCAAACTTGGTCCACTGAGTCCAAATTCTGTGCTGCTTTAGCTGCCCAAGGAGGTTAAGGTAACAAGGAGTCTTCCTGCTTCTCTCTACTGTCACTTAGAGACTGTCACTTGCCTTGGAGGAGAATTCTTATGGACAGCTCTTAAAGCCTTGGATTTTACAAACTATTCCACAGGCTCTTGGAGATCAGCTCTGGAGAGTTTGCCTTGAAACACATGCACAGTGATTTCTGTGCTAGATACTGACTTTTTGGTATTTCCTGTTGGAGCTCTGCTTGGGTGGAGTTCCCTTTGGAAGCACCAGAATTTTCCTGTTTGTGCAGTTGATTTTCTAAACCTTAAATAAACTCTGTTGTTAGGTGTCTAGAACAATAACAACTTAACTCTTTTTTTCTTCTTCTTCTTCTAGACACTGGGGATTGAATCCAGGGGTGCTCTATCACTGAATAGATTCCCCAGCCCCTTTTGTTTTTTATTTTGAGGCAGAGTCTAAGTTGCCCAGGCTGGTCTTGAACCTGTAATCCTCCTGCCTCAGCCTCTCGAGTTGCTGGGATTACTGGCGTGTGCCACAGCACCCCACATCAACAACTCTTTATTAAGCACCTACTATGAACCTGCTACTGTTCTAGCAGCTGGGAATACAATGTGACCTCAGCCAACCCTGCTCTCAAAGAACTCTCAGTCTGAACCAGGACACAGATTAGTAAACAGGCATTTGCCTTCCACGTGGTAAGTGCCATGAAGGGCAAAGTACAGAGTGTGGGGGACAGGAGGTGGGGGTGAATCCAGCCTTGAGAGTGGCAGGGCTTGGAGAAGGGGGTGCAGTGTACCAGGAAAGACCTCCCAGAGCCTGAGCCAGTTACACTGCATGTTAAATATGAGAACTTGATTTTGTAGAATCTGTTTTCAATGACCTGCAAATACAATATGAATTAGTTTGTAAGAAAACTTTTTTTTTTCTTTTTTTCCAAGCCTTTTTTTTTTTTTTTTTTTTTGCCATGGCTTAGATGTCTCCACTTCTCTCATTTTTACTGCACATTAAAGACATTAATGCAGAGGTATGAATCTCCTGAAGGCTGAGGCACCAAACCAGATAGCCTGCTTGCAGGAGAATTAGGTGAATCTTTGCTTTTCCTGTTTGGAAAGCGAGGAAGGGAGAAGTAGAGTCAGGCAAGAAAAGCAAACTGCTTCCCTGCTCCCAATTCAGGTCTTCCTCAGGGACTTCATTATTTTCTGTGAAGTGTATTTTGGGAATGTCAAGTGTACACAACTCTAGTCAAATTCTGTGGAATCAACACAAAACGCATTCTAAGGCCACGATATGTAAATGACTGTGGATTATTTTCTTTTTAGATTCTCCTTCTCGCTGTTTCCCTTCATTAGTGTGAATGATAAAGACTGGCTTCCTGCCAAAAGAAAAACTAGGGGGCGTGGATGGAAAACAATTCGGATACTTCCCTGTGTCTGGCTAGTTGGAGTTTCCTGCGATTACTTTTGCATGTTCTCTGGATCTCTAGGTCAGACAATGGAATACCTACCAACTCATTTGTTTTTCTTTTTCTTTTTTTGGTACTGGGAATTGAACTCATAGGCATTCAACCACTAAGTCACATCCTCAGCCCTATTTTGTATTTTATTTAGAGACAGGGTCTCACTGAGTTGCTTAGCACCTTGCTGTTGCTGAGGCTGGCTTTGAACTCGTGATCCTCCTGTCTCAATCTCCTGAGCTCCTGGGATTATAGGTATGTGCCACCGCACCTGGCTCCTTTGTTTTTGAAATCATTTTATTGAGGTGTAATTTATATACAAAAGAATGTACCCATGTTAGGCATACAGTTCTATGAATGTTGACAAATATATACACTGGTCTAAACCTCCACAACCTAGACATGGACACTTGCAGGTGGGCGTGGTGGCACACACCTGTAATCCCAGCAACTCTGGAGGCTGAGGCAGGAGGATTGCAAGTTCAAGGGCAGCCTCAGTAACTTATGAAACCCTAAAAAATTTACGGAGACCTTGTCTCAAAAAGTAAAAAAAGGACTGGGGATGTGACTCAGTGGTTAAGTGCCCCTGGGTTCAATAACAAGTACAAAAAGAAGAAGAAGGAGGAGGAGAAGGAGGAGGAGGAGGAGGAGGAGGAGGAGGAGGAGGAGGAGGAGGAGGAGGAGGAGGAAAGAAATGAAGACTCAGTTCCCAAAATTTGTTGCCCCCAACCCTAACCTCAGGCAACCACTGACCTGCTTCCTCTCACCCTAGATCAATTTTGCCTGTTCTAGAATTTCCAATACATGGAATCGTACCGTGTACATTCTTTTGAGTGTGGCTTTTTTTTTGGCTTAGGATAAAGTTTTTGCAATTCATCCTTAAGAGTATCTATAGTTCATTTCTTTTTATTTAAAAATGCCAATTTTGAGCCAGATGTGGTGGTGCACACCTGTAATACCAGGGGCTCTGGAGGCTGAGACAAGAGGATCGTGAATTCAAAGCCAGCCTCAGCGATTTAGTGAGGTACTAAGCAACTCAGTGAAACCTTGTCTCTAAATAAATACAAAATAGGGCTGGGGTGTGGCTCAGTGGTCAAGTACCCCTGAGTTCAATCCCCAGTGGGCCCTCACCCCCCGCCACCAAAATGCTGATTTTGAAAGTAGCAAACAATTGTTTAATTGCTTAGCAAGATGAGCAGATGAAGAAAGTCCCTTTGGCCTAAAAATTCTATCCACTTGCCTAGGAAATGAAGGCCTGAGAATTATATCAGGTTAGTACGAATCACATTTAAGAAGCAGCCGAGCACATGAATTTCTGAGCTCCGGGAGCCTGGGAGGACAGGGAGAGATGAAGCTCCAGTGAATGATAGAATATATTACAGAGAATGACAGGGTTATTTGCTCAGTTCTGTTATGAGCTCAGCAAAATGTGACAATCCTGGGAAATATAAATATATATTGCTATATTTATATGTGTGTTTGTCCCAGGAGACCTGGCAGGGAGTGGTGGGGAGACGGGTATCCTGGAGGATTTGAGTAGGCAGAGATAACTGGATAAAGTAGAGCCTGTTCGAGGTTACTCTAATGTATAGTGACAAATAAAAATTAACAAAGGTGCCCAGCTGGTGGCGTATGCCCTGGAATCCCAGCTACTCAGGGAGGCTGAGGCAGAAGGATCACTAGTTCCATGCCAGTCTCAGCAATTTAGTGAGATCTTATCTCAAAATAAAATAAGACGACTTGGGGTGTAGCTCAGTGGTAGAGTGCTTACCTAGCATGCTTGAGTCCCAGGGTTCTGTCCCCAGTACAGAAAAGTTACAATGAAAGCTAATATTTATGGGACCCTTGCTGTATCCTGCACTGTGCTCAGTTCTGAAGGGGCACTGTTTCATTGAACCTGCACCTGTGCCCTACATAGCCGATGTGGGTGCTCTGCCTGCATCCTCTGCATATTTCAAGTAGTATTTCTGCACACCATCCTGGCTGTGTACCTAATAGGGAAACAAATGCTACCAGCTCCCTGTGTGACCTGTCCTGTCTTCCCTTCACCTCTCCATGGGACTTTGCTTGATTCTCCACTATGCTTGGCCTCTATCCCTCTCCACTCCCACTTCCTGCCTTCTCCAGCAATTTTCTTCAGAGACACTTCTTTATAAATCACCTTCTTCTGAGTCTTCATCTCAAGGTCTGCTTCTGGGGACCCTAAACTCAGACAAGATACTATAAGTTACAGTTGTGTTATAAATCAGAGAAATAGCTGGGCCCTGTGGCTCAGGCCTATAATCCCAGCCTCTCTGGAGGATGAAACAAAAAGACTGCAAGTTCAAAGCCAGCCTCAGCTATTTAGCAAGGCCCTAAACAACTCAGCAAGACCCTGTCTCTAAATAAAATATAAAAAAGGGCTGGGAATGTGGATCAGTAGTTAAGTGCCTCTGAGTTCAATCCCTGGTACAAAAAGCAAAACAAAAAATAACAAAAACATAAACAAATAGGAGAAGTTAGACAAGCATGCATGCACACACCCACCCCACCCCACCCCCAAGCTGATTCTTGCTCATCCTTCAGATGAGCACTTGACCTTCACTTTCTCAGACGACCTTCCCTAATCCTTCCCCCGAGTCTAGGTCAGGCTCCATGCTTATGTTCTCAGAGTCATCCTTTGTTACCATTGCCTTGGTACTAGGTTTATAATGATTTGTGTGATTATTGGATTAATGATCATGTCCCCTATGAATTGGCTGGCTCCAGGATGTCAGGGGCCATGTCTTGTTTGCTCTCAGCACATAGTTTCTAGAACATAGTGACTGTTCATTAAATATTTACTGACTGAATGAATGGCTTTAAGTTCCTTCACTTTCCTCACAGTGCTCACTGGCCTCTATTTGGAACTGGGCTGAAATACATAATGTATTATCCCTGAGAGTGACATAAGGTCTTTCCCCCACCACCATTCTTTTGATGGTTAGGAAAAGCAATATTCAGGTAAAATGAAAATAAAATGTTTTATTCCAGGGGACCAAAATTTAGTGTCAACTGTGGAGTTGAATTTAGAAACAGGAGATAACTGGGTAGAATCTGAATGAATTATGAGGAAGAAATCTGAATGACATTTTAATGAAATACAATGTTGTTTAAATATGCTCCCATTCTGAATGAAATACACTGTCTTAGATCCCCCCCGCCACTTACTTTTCAACAAAAGTATACTCTGCCCCTTATTCTCATTGGGAGGCTAAGTATCTATTTCCTTATATTCTTGCCATAGTGACTTTTCAGATAGGTAACATTATCAAACTGCCTTTTATGAGTGTGTGGAGAAAAGGAGAATGGAATTGTACAAGATTAATGAAACAAATGCAGATTGAGAGATTTCCCAGGTGGTTAAGTAAAACTACCCAGGCGCACTCAGACACCCACACCCCATCCTCAAGATAGTTTTGGCTCTGATCAGCAGAGATAAATTTTCCTACCTGACAATTGACTGTATAAGAAAGTGTGTCTTAATAGTCACAGATTTCTGCTTCTGTTTGCTGCTGTCTCAGGCAATCCTTCACCTGCTGGGACGAAGGACCTGAAGGATCTTGGCATACAGAGAGGTGGTGCTTAGCAGCAAGGTAAATATTGGCAGGCTGCACATGAGAGGTGAATATAAATAAGTCAGAGTATCCTTAGAAAAGTTCATTCTGCATCTGCCATTTTATTACCAACTGGCAAATAGGAAATCATGAGTTTATCATGTTTTTGCCGAAATCACAGCAAAAGCTTTTGCAGAAAAGCTGCAAAGTATTCAGGGCCAATAAATGCTGAGTGAATAATTTTGAACGTGAACTTTGGAACCAGGGATTGAATCCAGAGGCAGATAATCACTGAGCCACATCCCCAGCTTTTTAATTTTTTTTTTTTTTAAGAGACAGGGTCTTGTTAAATTGCTCAGCCTCCAGAGTCTTGGGATTACAGGTGTGGGCTGGCTCGCCTGGTTTAAACATATTTTCACAAATCCTGATGGTTGCATTAGATTAACGAATGTGCCTCTCCTAACTTTATCTCTCATACTCATGTTCATCAGTGTCTGCTTGGAGTTGCTCAATCAAACCAGGCTGTTCCACACTTGGGTGCATTTGCTTTTGTGGCTCTTAGTGCCTGGACTGGAATGTGCTCCCTGCAGATCTTTCAATGACTGTTATCAGGATCATCTTTCATCTCCTTTCTTGACTAACTCACTCCTAGTATGAGCCATTTTGTCCTTTATAAACTTGATTGCACAGATCTATTTAACTAAACATGACTGGGCCCTCTTGGGAAGTCCCTGCTCACACCCTGTACCCACTCTGAGGCCATAGTCAACACTTCATTGCAACCCACTTGTCCAATTGTGACCTATCATGTCATCTCCCAAAGCATTTCAGTAATGTAGATTTCAGTAATGTAGGAGCCAAACTTCATAAAATCCCCTTGAAAATATCCATTCCAATAGTCTTTTCTGCCATTGCCAGTCACCTAACCTCCTCTATCTCCTCAAAGTGTCCACTCTCCACTTTCCTCCAGCTATGCTGGCTTTAGTCTCCCTCCCCACTGGATTCCTCACCACCACCCCAACTTCATTTAGCAATTTAGCCTGCTTAGTCCTTTAAGGACAGGAATCAAGTTTCACACATTTTTGCATCTCCTTTGCAAAATAGTTAAAATACTTGTGAGATGAAGGAAGGATAATTGAAAGAATGTAGCCACTGACTGATTACAATCTCTAACATCTTACTCTTATCATGGTTTTCTTCTGTTTGAAGATGTTCCCTATCTTCTCAACGAATGCCTTGGCCAGCTGTCATTTCTCTCTGAATCCAGCACTCTGCTCAACTAGGATGGGCTCTCTTCCCCTCAAGACTATGGTGCATATTGTTGCTTTCAGGTGTTCATTAGGGTTGTTTCTCTAGGCCTGGAATCCTCTATGTCATTCATGAGGGTGATCAGTATTGGGTTACCATCACCCCAAGGAAGGCCAAGGTGGATGCAACTGGTCTGGTCTTGTAGGTCCATGTGAGTTCGAGTTCTTCCCACTCTTGAAGGCTCAACATAGGTCTTTACTTCCTCAGGACATTTCTCTGAGTCCTCTAGCCCAGGTATAATCCCTTCTCTGTTGACTTGTTAGGACATAAACCCTGAATGTGTCCACACTGAGGGTGCTTAATTGTTTGGCCTTGTGTTGCTATGCAATGTTGAGTGTGAGGCTTTGAGGTCATTTCTCTTCCTAGATCGTGGTTGTTATCAGGGCTATTCATCCTTTTTTTTTTTTTTTTGGTTTTTCTCCATTACTAGACTTGTGGTAGGTCTGTACTTCTCTAACTCCTTGAAGTTATATGCAACTATCTTGCTGTGGTCAATGAAATGGTTTCCGCCTGTTACTGGTGAGGGCGAGTCCGCTTCTCCAGATGTGAAGATTGAACACCTGGGAATCGGTGTGAGGCAAGCATAGAAAACAAACACACACTTCTCAACAGAGAAGGGGCCCAGAGCTGGGTGTCATGGGAGGGGGTGCAGCTTGTCCTTTTTATAATTTCCAGTGTTCTCACTTCTCATGTCCCCTTCCTTTATCCCGTCAAACAGTAAAAAGGCAGAAGAGGGGCAATTCAGAGGGAGTGGCCCAGGAAATACTCATTAATAATTCCCTGCTGGGATGAACACCTACTGGAGGTAGGTGACTTTTTGATTATTGCTTAGGGGAGGGGGAAGTGTCCTGAAGGTATTAACATTGTTCCCCTTTGAACCAGCTTCCATCTTCCCAACCCTATTCAACTTCTGTCTTCTGGACCCCCCCCCCCGCCCCCCCGCCCCATTCACCTATCTACACTAACTGCCTGACCTTTGTTCTTGCTTCAAAATGTGAGCAGAATTGCCATGAGTCCCTTCACAGGAAGAAGTGTTAAAGGCTGGTAAGTGACTGACCACACTCTTTCCCTTTGATGTGGTGACTGGAAAAGTTCAAGTTATCTGGCAGTTGTTCATTAGCCTGGGTCTTTGAGTGAAGATCCAGCTGATTCACAATGGGCTAGTGGGGTGAGTAGGAAACTAATCTTTGTTGTATTTAGCTAGATCCAGAAGTTAGCTGTCTATGGTGACTCATGCCTGTCATCCCAGAGGCTCTGGAGGCTGAGGCAGGAGGATCAGAAGTTCAAAGCCAGCCTCAGCAATTTAGTGAGGCTAAGCAATTCAGCGAGACCTTGTCTCTAAATAAAATATTACAAAAAGGGGCTGGGGGACGTGGCTCAGTGGTTAAGCGCTCCCAGGTTCAATACCCAGTACCAAACAAACAAAAAAACAACACACACACACACACACACACACAAAATTCAGAAGTCGTTTGTTACTGCAGCACAAGCTGTCCTGTGCAGACAGACTAGAAATTCCTTAAGCACTTATGCTTAACTCACCTTTCCATCTCCTGTAGAACACAGAACAATACTTCATGGATGTTCAATAATTATTGCCAATTGGTGATATGAACTGAGATAAGGCAAAATATATTAGACTGGAGAGTGAAACTTGTTATCAGTAATTCAACTTAAGACTTCAGTGTCTGAAAAACCCAAATATATGTGCAAGATGATTCCAATAACATTCTTATATATATGAGGAGGCAGAATAGTGCAATGAAAGAAACTTGGGCTTTTGAGCCAAATACATCTGGGTTCAGGTACAATCTCTTCTTCTATGTATGTGGCTGCATAGCCATGGGCAAGTTATTGAAGATCTTTGGGTACTAGTTTCCTCATCTGTAACAGGGATAATATCACCAACTACCACACAGAATTATTGTGAGATTAATGAGAGAATGTATTTAAAGTCCTTGGCATGTCATGAATGGTCAACAGTTACTCTCTTAGGTCTCTTCTCACCAGATGTGTGTGGGTTGGTGTTAACTCTTGCTTAACTCTCTGGGAACTCCTTCCTTTCATTTACTCCCTCTGAGATCTCCATTACTTGCCTAGTCCCTGGATTTATTTAACTCAGTCTTCCTGTTCCTTAAAGTTTTGCTTTTGCTGCCTTATGCATATTCTGTTCATCCATAACTGGCTGGAGTTGGCAGGAGCCATTGGCAAAGGTCTCCAGTTGGGAGGACAGTAATTTTAAGACAGGCTCTCTGCGGCCAATTTTTTTTTTTTTTTTTGTACTATGGATTGAACTCAGGGGCACTTGAACACTGAGCCACATCCCCAGCCCAATTTTTTTTTGTATTATTATTAAGAGACAGGGTCTCACTGAGTTGCTTAGTGCCTTGCTAATTTGCTGAGGTTGGCTTTGAACTCGTGATCCTCCTGCCTCTGTCTCCTGAACTGCTGAGATTACAGGCATGCACCACTGTGCCTGGCTCTTCTGTCAATTTTAAACAGGGTCCTCAGTGTGAGAGGCAGAGCCAGGAAAGTGAAGGGAGGTGGTCTCCATAGGGAGGAAAGAATTTAGAATGTCATGGTGTCCAGGGACAGGAGAGTCCTTACTTTGCCCAGGCCTTAGCTGTAACAGCAGAAAATTGATCACCCTCTTGAACGTGGGTCTCACTAGTGATGGCAGCATGGAAGTCTTTGCAGTTGTTTTCAATGACTGACTCCTTTGGGTCACAAGTTGGGGCTTGGTATGTTGTCCCAAAGGCTGTGCTTTTTGGCCCAGGGTGTGTTGTGTTTATGGGTGGGTGTATTGTCCCTGAGTCCTTGAGGCCATCTCCCTCCCACCTCCCTGCGTAGCAGCAGCTGTGATGTGGCATGTCCAACCACCCCAAAGGTGCTTGTGTAACTTGTTTTTCGAAGCCTTGGCAGGAGTTCTAGTCCTGAAGTGAGAAAGGATGTTTACATTCTGGAAGAGCAGTCCTGAGAAATGTCTTGCATGGGGGCTGTTCCTGATCAACCCCGTCCCCCAGCATGCCTAGCACCTTATTTTTCTCTGGGATGGTTTATCACAGCCATAGCCATCATCTTGGACCTGGAAGAAACAAACTGAGCATGAAAAGAAAACAGGCTGCGGGGAAGCATTGGCCAACTGTCCCAAGTTTACTGCCCTGTAGAAACGGCCTTTGCTGCAAAGGCAAGTGAAATTCTCTAGGTCAAGGCCTTTGCTGCCATGGTGCCTTGTGCCTGGCACAGAGCAAGGTGTCAGAGGCAGATGCTCAATAGACATTCGCTGAGAAAATGAATTGTGAAAATCTGTGGGCGATGGAACATTTCAGAGGACTCGCAGGTGGAAGTTCTTAACTGACACCTGGTTAACAGCTTCCTCTGATGGGTACCTACATTATTAATAACAATGGTTGCTATTTATTAGATACCCAGTCTGTGCCAAGAAGAGGCATATTTTATTTCCTTTAATTCCACAGTAGGAACAGTTCTACAAATAGGTAACCAGCTCCCTAATTAATAGCTGAGAGCACGCATGCTCATGGGCACAGTTTGAGGAACTCGCCTGATGTCACAGAGAAAGAAAACCAGGATCCAAAGCCACCAACTTAGAGCACTTTCTGTGGCTCCCTTGCTGCCCCTCACCCCTGCTGGTCTCCATGTCCTGCAACAGGCCAGGGCAGGGTTACCTATAAAAGGGGTTCAGGCCCATCCCACTCTCCTGCTGTGGTAGTTCTACTACTTTTTTTTTTTTTTCATTTTTTTTCCTCTTGCAAATAAATAGGCTTGAATCCCTGCTGCAAGGACCACGCCAGATGCCCGCTTTGTCATTCTTTCAATTGCTCACCTGGCTTCAAGACCTTCCCTGCTCAGTCTGGCCACCCTCCCCTCTCAGCCTTCCTCGGGTGGCCACACCCAGCTTTCTTTCTTCCTATCCTATTCAGTCCTCTGGCTTCAAGGCCAGGTTTTCATTTCGCTATATAAACCTTGCTTCAGGTGTTATTTTATGGACAGGCTCTAGAGGAAAAAAAAAAAAGCAGTCAATAAATATGTGTTGAATTGTGTGCTAAACTCTAGACAAAGAAAGGAAAATCTTTGGATCGCGAAGACGACAGAAAGGCAGCGGGTGGGGGCGGGGCAACCATGAATTTGACTCTTCCTCCTGCTCTCGGGGTCCTCTTTGGATGCCTCCCTCCCACCCTGGGCCGGCCAGGCCGCCACCGCGTGTTTAGCCTTAGTGCTGTCATCTGATTACGGTAACATCCAAACAGATTGAAGCCCCAAATCAATGCCAGAGCAGAAGTGCACGCGCGGGGGGTGGTTTCCTTGGAAATGCTTCAGTTATAATTAACCTCCAAAGAGAGCCATCCAAACAAGTTCCTTGACCCTCTGGGGAGAAGAAGGAACAATGGAACTGCAAGGGAAGCCATTTCTGCCAGCCGCGGGGGCGTGTGTGCCCGCGCCGGGTCCCACCTTCGCAGCGCACTGTCCATAGATGGCCTCTGACAGTCCCAGTATTCAAACGTCGGGGCCGGGGGTTGGCGGCTGCGGTGCCTGCTGCTGCCACGGCTGAGATCATGCTGTTGGTCTTGTTTTACCGAGAGCAGCCCAGCCTGTTGTGCCGAGTACAGAACGTTCTCTTCTGTGAACTGAGCTTGAACTCTTCCAACCCACTTTGTTTGAGGAACCACACAGACACAGAAGAAAACGACAGGGAAGATAACCCCCCAAATCCTTGAAATCCTGGTGTTCGCTGCACTTTGGGTTTGGGCCATTCGCTTTGCACGACTCAGAATGAAAAAAATCCCAAGCATTACACTTCTTGGAAGAACAAAATGCTTGTGATGTCCTTCTTCTAAGACAGGACTTGGCATCCACTTTGGAAATTAACAAGTCTGTCACTGTCTTTCTTCAATTTCTTTCTTTTTTTTTTCCCCCTTAGGCATTCAAGGAACAACAACAAATAAAAGCTATTTTCCTATAAAGGAAAGATAAGCCCTTGGCGCTAGTGACTTCTCTCTCACTTGTTGGAGCTGTCACAATATTATAGTGTTTACCACTTTGCTGTTATGACTGCAGAGAGATGACTGTGAGGGTCATTGGCCTCCATATAAATGACCAACGAGAGAAGCTGCTAATGTTTGGTTAAATGGTTTGAAATTTCTCTCCAAGTCAAGTATGTGGTGCACACCCGTTAATCCCAGTGACTCAGGAGGCTGAGGCAGGAGGACTGCAAGTAGAGGCCAGCCACAGCAACTTGGCAAGACCCTGTCTCAAGAAAATAAAAGGGTTGGGGGGGTGATGCTCACCCTCAGGTGAAAGAGCACCCTCAGGCTCAATCCCCAGCATTACATAAGTAAATAAATAAATAAAAATTTAAAAACTACCTTCACATAGTCATGTTTGAATTTCCAGGGCACAAATGGTTTAGAGGGCTGCTTAGAGAATTGGAGGGTGATGGGGATGTGCCTCAAGCGGTAGTGCGCTCGCCTGGCATGCGTGCAGCCTGGTTCGATCCTCAGCACACATACAGACAAAGATGTTGTGTCTGCTGAAAAATAAATATTAAAATTCTCTCTCTCTCTCTCTCTCTAAAAAAAAAAAAAAGAGAATTGGAGGGTGAGATTTCTGTGGGATAGACAGTATGGTGCAGTGTAGATGTTTTCTAACATTATTATTTTAAAACACAGGGTCTTGCCGTTGTACAGGTTGGCTCTGAACTTATGGGCTCAAAAGATCCTCCTGTCTCAGTGTCTAAGTAGCTGGGACTATTGGTATGTACCACTGCACCTGGCTAATAACTACTATTTTTGAAAGTAGTTGATTCCTTTTATTGTATTAAAATTTACTAAAAACTCACTGGTGAAGCAGGAAGAGCACAAATTTGTGTGAGTAGTGGATTTGAATCTTCTTCTCATGGATGCTCATATAATATTAGACAGGTCATTTACTGAGACTCATTTGTGAAAGGGGTGTAATCTTGTCACATGTACTGGCAGAGTCACTTGTAATTGTACTGGGGTTTGAACCCAGGGGTGCTTAATCACTGAGCCACATCCCTTGCCCTTTTTATTATTTATTTTGATCCAGGGTCTTACTAAGTTGCTTAGGGCCTCACTAAGTTTCTGAGGCTGGCTTTGAACCTGCTGTCCTCCTGTCTCGGCCTCCTGAGCGACTGAATGAACAGGTGTGCACCACTGCACCTGGCTCAAGATTCTTCTCTTGAATTTGCAGTTCTAGGAAACTCTTGTTTTGGGAGCTGCTGTCCTGTGGGTTTTTTATTGCTGTTGGCAATAGCGAAATTTCTATAAGAAGATCTTTACTTGTGAGAGGTTTCCAGTTCTAAGGGATCCCCTCTGATCATATTTTTTTTGAAAAGTCACATCATTGGGGGAGGGTGGCTCAGGCCTGTAATCTCAGCAATGTGGGAGGCTGAGGCAGGAGGATCACAAGTTCAAGGCCAATGTCAAGCAACCAAGTGAGACCCTGTCTCTCAAAATGAAAATTAAAAAGGGTTGGGGACGTGGTTCAGTGGTGAATAAAGCGCCCCTGAGTTCAATCTCAAAAAAAAAAAAAAAAAAGAATGACAAATGATATTAGAATATTGGTTCAATAGTTCATTCATTTCATAAACTTCAACTGAATAGTTGGTAGGTTTAAGTTAGAGGCTGAGATCTAGGTGATGGGGGATGAGCAAGACACACTCACTACCTTGTAAGAGTTTATTGCCCATGGGAGAGGCATGTAATATATAATATATATAAAGTGAAGGAGGTTGCTACATACCCACTAGAGTTACAAATAACAAGCTGGAGGTAGAGTGCTACAGAAACAAGATGAGGATTCTCATAGAAGAAGTGGAAGCAAGCGCAGTCTAGACAGTAAAGGAAAGGAATCAGATAGACAATCTTTGTGGTTAATAGAATGTCATGGCATATTTGGGTTGAAGCTAGAGTATGTAGGAAGAGGTAAAGAAATAGATTGAACATAGACAAGGATTGTCTTCTTCCCCTTATTTTGCCCTTTGCTTTTTTTTTTTTTTTTAATCTCTTGAATCTTTCTTAACACAGTTCTCCAGGAATCCACTAGGTAGTGGTTGAGATTGGCACTTGAGATAGAATCATTGTCATTTCTGGCTTGGGCTTTAAATTCAATACTTACATATTTGCATTTTATTTGCATTTCTTTGAGGAGTTTTTGCCATTTCTGAGAATCAGAATTGTGACTCAAAGTCATAAGTATCTTGTGAGGAAGTTCAGGAGGGTAGGATCCACAGAAAAGGTGAAAAGCTGGAAACAAGATTGTTAGGAAGACTGTGAGAACCATCTAGAACAACGTGAGTGGGAGGGAAAAGTAGATGTGGGTAGACAGGAGAGGCTGTAGGGAGGTAGAAATTATAGGACTTGGCAAAGAGAGAGCGAGAAAACTTGATCATCACTAAGCTTTCTCACTTTGGGTACTGAGAGGCCCAGGCCCTGGGGATGGGGGGGGGGCGGTTGGACAGGAATGCAGTGTTGCAGAAACCTTGGTCCTTGTCCCCATACCAATCCAATAAGGAGGACATGGTTTTGAGAAAAAGGAAAAAGTTTATTGCTTTGCTAGCAAAGGAGAAATACAGGAGGCTCCTTTCCCAAAGGCTGTGATTCTGCCCATCAGCAGGAACAGGGGGCTTTTAAAGAGGTGATTTGGAGAAAATGAGATTAAGAAGGAGAGATCAGGAAGAAGACGATTAGGGAAAAGACGATCAGGAGCTGGGCATGGTGGCTCACACCTGTAATCCCAGTGATTCGGGAGGCTGAGACAGAAGGATCACGAGTTCAAATCCAGCCTCGGCAACTTATTAAGGCTCTAAGCAACTCAGTGAGACCCTGTCTTTAAATAAAATACAAAATAGGGGCTGGAGATGTGGCTCAGTGGTTGAATGCCCCTGAGTTCAAGCCCCATTACCAAAAAAAAAAAAAAAAGCCCCCAAACAAAAATAAGATTAGGGAGGAGGTTAAGGAAAAGATCAGAGAGGAGAAAATCAGGGAAAAGGTTAAGGAAAAGAAGATCAGGGAGGAGAAGATAAGAAAGGAGACGGTTAGGGAAAAGAAGGTTGGGGAAAAAGGGAAAAAAACCCCACATATGTAAGTTTCAAAGCCACAAGGAATATGATCAAAGCATCAAGTGAACCCATGTTTCAGCAGGATTAGAGCTTCAACCTTCCCTTTTACAAACAGAAGATGAGCTGAGTTTCAGACAGGGTGTGAACTTGAGGAGTCACTGGGCCATCCATGGAGAGGATCCCAGCTCTTATCTAGAAATACACATCTGGCATTAAGACCCAGAGTAGTTCAGGATTCACGCAGAAGAACCAGTGGAAAGCTGGGGAGTTCATGTCATCTCTTAGAAGACAGACAGGAAAGAAGGGCTAGGTTTGATCTTGAGAGGTGCCTGTGTTTAATGAACACCTAAGGAGGAGAAGCTGAGAGATAACACAAATTCTTAACAATCCAGGAGCTGGGCGTGGAGGCGCACACCTGTAATCCCAGCAATTTGGGAGGCTGAGGCAGGGGGATCTCAGGGTTGAGGCCATCTTCAGCAACTTACCAAGATCCTGTCTTAAAATAAGAAAATAAAAAGGACTGAGGACGTAGCTCAGTGGTAAAATGCCCCTGGGTTCAACCCCCAGCACCCAAACAAACAAAAACCAACCTGGGGTATCATTAGTTAAATCTAGTCCTCTCCTGTCTGGTTTTTCTTTGCTACAGAACCATGACTCACTTGAATGGGACCTATTGGTGTTTGTCTGGGAATTAAAGAAAATAGATGGTTTTCTCCTGCACATCCTTTAAGGCAATGTTTCTCAAACTCTTCTGACCATGAACCACAGTGACATGACCCAGGACACACATGCGTAGGTAATTATGTAACTCAATCAAAAGGCTTCATGAAACAATATCAACTTGTATCTTTTGCAGTTAGTACTGATATTTTCTGTTTTGTTTTATTTAATCAAAAAGTGAAAATGTTGATTGAGTCCTCCAAGTTGATATCAGAATCACCAATGTGATTCAAAGTTGCAGTTTGAAAGACACTGTTTAGAAATGGTGATTTCTGGAAGTCCACTCTCCCTCTAGTGGTTGTAATCTTTCAGAGTGATTCTGGTTTGTAGGCTCAGCTCTGCCTGAGGACCAGTGGGAAAGAGCTGATCCCAAGTCGAAGGACTTTCTTGCATGTAGGCACTTTTACTTTGGGAGGAAGTTCTAGGTGAGTCCTATTAGCAGGTTTGCTTTTGATGTTTCCAGATGCAAATAACAACGATAATATAGGCTGAGCAGCTCTAACGTGAGGGTGCTTAAGAAGCTTCAGACATTGGAGAATTATGGATTTCAGATTAGGGATTCTAATCAGTAAAGTCTATGCAAATATTCCCAAATCCAGAAAACTCCTAAATCTGAAACGTATGCAGTCCCAAGCATTTTGGAGAAGGCACATTCAACTTATCATGGACATTTATTAAGTCAAGCACATTACATACACTAGTAACAATTTAGTTTCAAAATAAAGCTCTGAGGGAAAATGAATTATTGCCTGCATTTTACATTTGAGAACTACCAAAGCTAGGAGAGAAAACTTGCCCATTATTATACAGACAGTAAATGGTGAACTCAGACTCATTCAGTCTGTTTGCAGAATGCAGGCGCTTAACATAACTTGGAAAACATTTTGAAGAGTTGGACTAGCAAATGGTGTCTTCCTTGGTTTCATTTGTGTGTCTCTTAGCAGGGCTTGGTCTTATCTCTCAGTACTCTTTTATCTTTTCTTAGTGGAGCCTCCTTCAATTTGTAATTTATGGATATAATCAAGTATCTAAGTGGGGCATGGCAGCACATGTCTGTCATCCCAGCTACTCAGGAGACTGAGGTAGGAGCATTGCAGATTTGAGGCCAGCCTGGATAATTTAGTGAGACTCTATCCCAAAATAAAATAAAAAGGCTGAGGGTATAGCTCAGTGGTAGAGGATTCCTGCAATCTCCAATATGCAAAAATCAATCAATCAAATACCTCACATGCTTTCAAAAACTGGAAACAGGAAAAGAAACTGGAAAAGAAACAAGAAAAAGAAAGAAATGGGTGTGGTGGCACAGTCCTGTAATCCCAGCAGCTCTGGAGGCCAAGGAGGAAGGATCGTGAGTTCAAACCCAGCCTCAGCAATTTAGTAAGGCCCTAAGCAATTTAGTGCGACTCTATCTGAAAATAAAAAATAAATAAATAAAATAAAAAGGGCTGGGGATGTGGCTCAGTGGTTAACTGCCTCTGAGTTCAATTCCCAGTACCAGGAAAAAAAAAAAAGAGGCCGAAAAATAGTGGGGAGGGTGTTGATGAATGGGCTTCTGAGGCTGG